GCCTCCAGCGCGGGGACCAGCGACGCGCGGCGGCTGGCGCCCCCGGGGCGGAACCCTTTCGTACACGAGCTGCGCCTCAGCGCCCTGCAGAAGGCCCAGGTGGGTGCCCGCCGTGTGCCCGACACGCCCCGGGCCCGGGGCTGCGCCGAGGGTCCGGGATGCGCGGCCGGAGGGGGCTGGGAAGGGGACCGCGGGCGCGGCCCAGCCTCGCGGCCCCGGGCCCCAGGACGCGCGATCGCCACACTCCCCTGAGGCCCGCAACCCGCATCCTCGCCGCCCTCGCCCCATCCTCCGGTTCCCGCCGCCGGTGCCCCGAACCTGGCTCCGCATCCCCAGTCCCTAGGTCCCCGCACGCGGCCCTATCCCCCTTTCCCTGATCCCTGGATCCCTGGCCCCTGCACCCCGACCTCAGACCTGCGCGCAGGTCGGCCGCGCCCCGCAGCCCTTGGTCCGGGCTCCCGTTCCCGCTGCGTTCCGGTCCCGCGCGGTACCGGAGCGGCTCCCCCGGATGTGACTTGGTCCCTTGGTGCGCTTGGTGTGTGGGGACCTCGCTGGTCACGTGAGTCATTGCCAGTGGCAGTGTGGTGCGGACTGTGCGGGGTGCCCTGCAGGTAACTGGCGGGAAGACGTCAGCCTCTGCGTTTGCGAGCTGTTCCCGGGGCCCGCGTGGGGCTGGGCTTGCGGCCCGACTCGGTCGTGCACAGCCTGGTCCCCCTGGGCAACAGCGTGCGGGCGCGTCTGCTCCCCACGTTTAGCCTGTTGAGGGGCCCGGCCCTGGCGGAGGGGTGGCCGCTGCAGGACTTGGGGTCCCCACGCTTGTGCCTTCCCTTCGCGTGGCTCCTGGCCTGGAGGGACGCTTCCCCGAGCCGGTGGGGCCTGCGAGCTGGCCTTGCGGACTCTGGTGGTGAGCTGGGTTTGCGCTTCTGTAAGTTGCTCTTCTGACTCCAAAACTGAACGTCGAAGCAGAGAAGTTTCCGGTCTGCAGCGTCTGTGCAGACGGTGGGGACTGTATCTCCGACTGTGACGGAACTCTTTTGGGGGGAGGTTGACGTGTTTTTTAATGTGTAAGGTCATTCATTTGAAACAATATTGGAGTGAGAAGTCTTGAACTCAGTCTAAAGCTGTCATTTTCCAGATGCCTGACTTCCCCTCAGTGCCTTCTTTGGCGCGTTCAGCTGTTGTCGGTGGGAGAAGAAACAGGCAGCGAAGACTGAGGCGAGGGAAGAGCGGATAGGGTGGCGGACCTCCTGGGACGCGAAAGGGCAGGGCTGTGCTCCGCTGGTCCCTGTGCGTGTCAGGAGCAGACACCAGCTCCACTCGCCCGTGTGGTCTGCCGGCACCTCGTCCACTGCCGGGTGCTCTGCCCGGCGTCCGCAGCCCCTTCCTCTGGGCTCCTGAGCAGGTGCGCCCTGTGATCCAGCGGGGCCTTCCTCCCACGGCTCTGCTGCTTAGAGCCCGCTGGGGTGAGTGCCTCCGGGCTGGGGCCCTGACCCCTCATCCCTGCCCGGGCCTGGCTGGTCACCCGGCCTCCCGCTGTTGTCCCCCTGTCTGGCCGCTCTCTCCTGGCCACTCTGCAGCTCCCTCGGGCCCGCGGTGAAACAGCACTTCTGAGAGGGGCCCGCTCCACCCTGGATGGCCCCCCCTGAGCTCCCACCACGCCAGGAGCCTCTGGTCCTGCGGGTGCATGGGGGCCAGGTCTGTCCTGGCCAGGACTCTGTGCTCACTGCCCGCAGGGGAGAGGGGTCCACTGCAGAGAGTCAGCTGGTTGCTGAGAGAATAAACAAGGGGAGGGGACAGACGTCAGCTCCCTCGGGCGGGGTCACGGCGTTGTACGGTTTGGAGCAACTCCTGTGGGCTGTTCTTGCCCGAGCGTCAAGCGAGAATGCAAGAGCGGACCGGGCGGGTGGGTGTCTTCCCCTCCAGAGAGGGAGGGACGCTTTGTGTGTGTGTGCCTTGTTGCAGCGTTTCAGGGGCCTTTCAGAATCATCTTGGCATCTTTGTAACCAAGTCCTGCTCCTGTTCCGAGGCCTGCAGTGTGAGGCCAAGGGTGTGTAGCCTGAATTTACCCTCCAAGTTCCAAGCCCCGCTCTGTGGAAACATTTTGCTTTTCACCAAAAACACTCTGCAAAGCGTTTCCCCTTTACGTATGCGTTATGGTAGAGTTTCCGCAGAGTGAACTGGCCAAGCCAAGCAAAGAAAGCTGCCTCCCCAAATCAGTAAGTAGATGGAACCTGCAACGTCTGAGACCCCCCAGGGCGCTGAGCTGTGAGCGCAGATGGCCCAGCAAGTGTGCCTGTGTTACCTGCTGGCATTGGCTGTGGGGGAGGGGCTGCCCGTGCCTGGGGGTGAATGGCTGGTCCGTCCGTCTGTCACTTAACTGCACATTTGGTGAGGAGCTTAAGCATCTCTTTGGAGGGAGAACCACACGTTAAGATCAGAGCAGCCGTGACTGGTAGAAACTTAGTGGCAGATCGCAGGGTGCTTTGTTGGTCTGGGAGTCACGCAGGGGTGTTACGTCACTCCGGCCTTTTGGTACTTCCCGTTGGAAGCCGTGGTCATGGGCACATCCCCACTTCAGCTCTGTCACTTCCCCGTTTCTGAATTCACTGTAACCAGTGTCAGTGAGGATTTACTTCCTGGAAAGCAGCCTGGTTTCCCAGACACTTTGGAACCAAGTCCTTGGAGGTGAGGCCACTGTGTGCACCCCTCCCCCGGCCAGTCCGTAGGGAGGTTTACCAGGAGGGGTGACTCTAGGGACAGGCCTGTGCAGTGGCCTGCGTGGAGTGGGCGATGTCTTTCTCCGAGTTGTTATCCGAATGCCCGAGTTCTGATAAAAGGACGGCAGCAAGCGCCCCAATGTCTCAGCCTGGGTCTGTGTTAGGGGTGGCGGCCCTGGAGCAGGGCTTCCAGGCTGCTTCCCGAGGGGGTGCCTGATGGTGGCACTGGTGCATCTGTGCCCAGAGGTCCTGGTGACTCCAGCGTCCTTGCCGCTGGGAGGCAGGGTTGGGGGGGCGCCGTGTCCCCTTACCCAGGTGAGGGGCGCAGGCCCAGGTGCTGTGCTGACCCCGGACCCCGGGCAGTGCGGGCTGGCTCAGCGTGGAGTCTGACCCAGCGGCTTTCTCGGCTAACCCCCCCCCGAGCCTCCTTTAATCCGATTCTGGTTCTCTGGAAGGGCACACGCAGAACTTGACTGTGGTTGATGCTGAGGAGGGAGACGGGGGATTCAAGCTTCTAAGACTTGACTCTTCATTTTTTATGCTTTTCTGTCCCAGAATGGCGACACACACGTCCACATGCATAGTCCTGTCTTACGCCCTCTTTAGTGTCTCAACACTGAGTAAGACACAGTCAGTCTTACTTCCCATTTTATTTTATTTTAATTTTTTTATTGAAGAACAGTCAGTTACAACGTGTCAATGTCTGGTGCACAGCACAACGTCCCGGTCATGCAGATACAGACATACAGTCATTTTCATATTTTTTCATTAAAGGTTATAGCAAGATGCTGAACATAGTTCCCTGTGCTGTACAGAAGAAATATGTGTTTCTTTAACGTATTTTCACATACAGTGGCTAACATTTGTAAATCTCAAACTCCCAAACTTATCCCCTCCCACCCCCTCCCCCGGTAACCACAGGGTTGCTTACTCCGTCTGTGAGTCTGATTCTGTTTTATAGAGGAGTTTGTGTGTCCTTTCATTTTCATTGTTTTGGATTCCACATATGAGCGATCTCATGTGGTATTTTTCTTTCTCTTTCTGGCTTCCTTCACTTAGAATGACGACCTCCGGGTCCGTGCATGTTGCTGCAAACGGCGTTATTCTTTTCCTTTTTATGGCTGAGTAGCCTCCCATTGTGTAAATACACCACAGCTTCTTTACCCGGTCATCTGTCGGTGGACACATAGGTCGGCTACTTCTCATGTTAAAAACGCAGGATTTTGTCCCTGAAGGGAGCGCTGAGCCCCACTGAAGGAGCCGATGCCTGCCCACCCTGCCGTCCACAGGCCCCACCCCAGAGGGCGCCAGGCGGTGGGAAGGTTGGAGGAAGTGCCTGGGGCGCCCCTGCCCGGTGAGTCTCAGCACAGCTTCTGCGAGCCCCTCTCCCTGCCGTCAGACCCAGGGGCTGGAGCCCTGCCGAGTTCTCGTGGGTCTGCCGTGGGTCCGGGTTGGTGTTGCAGTGGAAACCTCCGTTCCAGCTGTGAGTGACTCTGAGATGAGCCCGGAGGAAAGTGTGCACTTGGAAGCATCTTTGAATGTGGTGGCGGGTTTGTCCTTCTAAAGCCCAAGTCACCGCTCAGCCGTCAGTGCCGCGTCTCACATTAGAGCTGATTCGCTTGTTCCTTGGTGTTTTGACCACGTTCCAGCATCGTCAGCTGGGGTGTTGTCAGCGTCGCTAAAGGCCCTGCATGTGGCCGCTGGCCTCCCGGCTTCCGGCTTCGCTGCATTTGGTGATGCTCCTGGACCGTCCTGGGTGGAGCCGCTGGCCTCGCCCTGTGCTCCTGTGAGGGGCCAGCTCAGGTGCGTGGACCTGCGGCCTTTTTCCTCCGGAAAGCCATATTTCCATCTTAGCACTGGAGGAGTGAGTTATTTTCCCTAAAAAGTTAGTTGCCGCCTAAGAACTTTTGAAACAACATCTTTCACAGTCTTCACATTTCAGACCCGGAGAATGGGGCCACGGGCAGGGCTCCCTAAGTGT